AATTTATAGAAAGCTGAGTCAAGAAACAGGTGTTACTGTTGGAATGATGAATCTTATCCTTTTCCTCACTCATAAATTTCTAACATATGAACCTACAGACTCTAAATCAGATGCTGGATTCACATAGATTTATGTCATTTACTTCCTTTCATTGAGAAAATAAAGAGGTAGATGATGTATCCAAACCTTACCAGCTGTTCCACAAACCACATGCAATGAGTAAGGTATCAGTGGAGATACTGCTGCCTCAGTGGCTCCATCTTACACTTGTTCTAGCACTTGAATATTGGATGCTGGTCTTGAAAAGTATTGCATCTCTGTAGGTATGAGCTTGGCTACAATGTTAGGTAGCATTCCATTTCCAGATGGCTCCTATTACTACCTAATTATTTTAAACCCTGATTTTTTTTCCAACAATTTACTATTGTCAAGGGTCACCTCCAAGCACAACATTGCTGAAATCAAGTATTTTGGGTTCTAGGTCTCTGGCTAGGAAAATTTAAGAATGGCTTCTTTGGGGTAATTGATAGACCATCTGGTGAAATCCATGATTAAACTATAAATGCAATTTTAAATTTTAATAAAACTATAAATAATTTTTATGACAATTGTTCAATCATAATTATTATTTGTTTAAATGTCCAACTGTTCTGTTAAACAAATTAGCAAGTACCAATGAAATGTATTCATTTATTCATTCATTTATTAATTCTTCTGTTATTTACTTATTATATACCTCAACAAGATGAGAAAAACAGATTCCTTTTTTCAATCACCTTGGATCCTAGTCAAGAGAAGATGATTGCAACTTATCAAAATCTTGCAAAAGTATATGCAGATAGGGATTACAGTTAGATGACAATGGCTGAAGAAACTTCTGGGGATTTTTATCTCCTTTGCATTATTAAGCTATTTTTCAGACTTAATACTGATTGAAGACATGTGGATGTGACAGAAATGTCTGAATTTGGACCTGGATTAAATACACTGTTTTGATGGATTCTTTTCTTGCTTTTAAGTTTTAGTTCATTTTAGGTTAAAGTATTCTCATAGAATTAACCTACTGTGCATCCTATAAGGATATTGTTTATTTCAACTTGTGTTGATTCAACAACATTGGGTTGAAACTAACCGTCAGAGCAAAACTAGCACAATTACATATACTGTCCTTTACAAAACACATACATATCAGCTTGGAGGCTGTTTTGTTAATACAAATTTTATGAAGGCCTCAGAACATTTGGTGAAAATCATTAAATCATAACTCTAGAATGAGAGCTTATGTATATTTAAAAGTATAGGAAGTGGGGGAGTATAAGTGTGTTTGCATTTGTTTTCATAAAAGTCCTGGGCCACTACTAATTCTTTCAGATTTGTGGGATTCTTTCATTTGTATCCCACGCTACTCTTTCCCTAGACCAAATGGATCCCTTGCATTAAAGATCTTCAAAAATACCCTTTCTGTACTTGCTTAAGGTACAGCTTGCATTGTGAGTCTTCATCGATTGTTTTCTATAGGTGTTGCTTCCCTCCACTAAAATCTGTAAAATACCACCATGTACTTCGGAATGAGACGTAGGCTCCATGCCTCGACCTTTCACCTGGGCACTCTGACTCTTACGTCCCCTTCCTGGTAGGCTCCCTCTGGCCGTATAAGCCTGCAGCTATAGAAGCGGGATAAGAATATTTTTAAATGCTTTTTAACCTGGAAGTGTAATTTACTGGATTCTGCTGGGTACAGAATCATAGTGCTACCTGTGTAATATATTAAGTATCTCCAGTGGCTATGGCTCAGGGGAAAGTTTAATTAATCACTCCACATCAATTACTTACAGCTTTTATTTCTCTCTGTCAGCTACGATTTAAAATACAATAAACTTTGATATGTTATTATTTTTTTAAATGACCTTATTTCTATATAATCTAGACTTTTTCTCATCCAAATTGTTGAACCCATATGTCAATAAAGCCGGAAAGAAGGCCCTGAATTATGACTGTGGGTAAAACTGCAATATTTTCAGAATCTATCGTCTGGCCTCAGTGCATATCAGTAGGTGTTTCCAAGGGGTGGAGAGAAGTAGTCCATCTCCGACCTTTATCAATAGGTAAGTACAAGGGCAAGCATTTCTGCACCAGAGAGGTTGGGTGGGGAGGTCTCTTCTTCTGCAGCTGGGTCGCAAGAGACAGGGGAGAGCAGAAGTGGGTGACTGCTTGTAAGAAATAAATGGATTTCTCCCACTTTATTTCTTCCTTTGACTGATGTTGGTTTCAAAGGTATTTTGCCTCGGAATTTCCCTCTCCCCCACTCCCACCCCGTGGAGTTACAATGATTAAGTATAGTAATTCATTCTTGTTATGATCATAATGGAGCAACTTAAATCAAGAGTGATATAGTCTATTTATCTTGAGTACCATTATAATATTTTGTGAACCTAGAGCAGCTACTACATACATAAATGTATTCACTTACCAATAATGAAGATTTCATATATAAAAATGAGCTGATTCTAACAATTTGAAATTTTTTAATAATCACAAGTTATCATTGATAAAATTCCATGAAATTTATAGAAGATTCTACATTCTGAAGAAACATTCCATGTTTGTCTTCAGAAAGAATAATTCCTTCTTTTAAGGTGCTGCATACACTTCTTTTCATAAAGTTCTTTTATAGACCTCTGCACAATTAAGACATCACTGTATCAGGATTTATAGGCCTGAAGTATAGTTTATCTTTACATATTCTCCTTAAACCCTGCATTTTTGGAGACATTGTTTAATGTTATGAACAGGAAATACCTTGATTATGGATTTCCTTTGCTAAAAGCAACCTGTCAATGAACAGCTGTGCCTACTCACATTTCTCTTGTTCAGCTTCCACTCCTTCACTTTCTGTGTCACTTGGCAAGATCCAGGGCTGATGAACTACCTGTAATTGCTTTAAAGATTCATCCTGCCAAAGAAAAGAAAAAAAATCATTTTGGATTAAGCTCTGGATTAATAGCAGGAATACCAATACTGTGAGCACTTTAGTCTCCATGAATTACAAGTCCAAAGAAAGACAGTAAGAATTTCCTTACAACACAGAGAAGTTATAAATTTAGATTCATTTTCATGTCATAGACACACCACAGACTCTAAACTCATTTTTTACATTCTCCTTTTACTAAAATTTAATGTCTTAATAAGAAGAACTATCTAGACTATGTTCCTTACTGAATTAATATTTTTATGGAAGTCCTGACACTTATTTCTGGAAATACAGTAATGAAATATTCAATATAAAATGGCACAAGATGTGCCTCTTTGCCGTCAAGGTTTCAAATTTCATATAATGAGAATAAAGATTAATAGGATTTCAAGAACATTCTCAATTTTACCATTCAGTACTACTTCACTGTCTCTTTCATCTTCTTACTTATTTTATTTCTCATGCCTTCTTTGGTGTTCTCTGCCTTCTGTCACTGACCTAAAGCAGACTTCATCATCTCCCATTCTGACTTTGTAGTAGTAGCCATCTATGAAGTTGTCTCATATCAAGTTTACACCCTCATTAATTCTGCCCACCAGGTCCTTGCCAGAGTGTGCTTTTTAAGATGCCATATGACATATTAATTACATTGCTCAGAATTCTTCAGTGGCATCTTAATTCACAGGATAAAATCTAAAGTCAAAGTCCTTCATAATCCATGCTTGTCAGCCTGAACTACCACTGTTTTTATCTCCTTCCTGCCTCGACTGACACTTCCACAGCAGCTTCTGTTAGCTCCTCAATTTTGTCATTCTGTCTGATCTGCCAAGACATTTTCATTTGTTATACTTCCTGACTAAAGTACACTACATTTATTTGTATCATATATTAACTTCCTCCCAAGGCTCAGATATTATTCCTACTGGAAGCCTTCCCTGATCCTCCAAGACAGAATTAATCTTCTATTCCTTTATGTGCCTATTGCACCAGTATAACAATTACTGTTTAGTGACAATTACTGTATAGTAATTGTCATATCATACCTTCCTGACTGAAAAGTAATGAATAGAAAGCCCTTGAGGACATGGATAACTTTTTTTCACCTTTAAATTTCAAATTTATTGAGCCATGATTCAAGAAAACTTTTTCAAATATATTTTGAAAATTAAAAACAAATCAGTATGACACACTAGTTTACTTTTTGACCTATAAGATTAATTCATCATCTTCCCCCTCTTTTAATCATCTTTTCCTCTAACTTGAGATATTTTACTTTGTTCAGACAAATACTAACAAGATAAAAATAAAGATCTGCAATCTCTGATCTCTAAGTTATATGACATCACTAAATATTAAATGTCCACTTTGTTTAAAGCAATTCCTGTACTAGAAAAACATTCTACTTGCCATCGCTTGATTGTAATTGTTATCACTGGAGATGTTTGCTCCCATACTAGAATTTAAAAAGGCACATTTTTCCAAGAGTTTGGATGGGGATTAAAGGGTGAATAGGTGAAGCACAGGGGATATTTGATACTATTTTGTGTGGTTTTATAGTGGGAAATACAAGACAGCAGCATTTGTCAAAACCCATAGAACTTTGCCCCGCAGAATAAACCTTAAAATATGCAAATAAAAGTATCAATTAGGAGGTTGAGGAAATCCCAGGATGGAAGACAAATACTTAAAAAGAATCTAAGTACATTACAGATGGACGAAACATCCTCACTGAAGGAGTTGAGGGAATAATGTGATAAGCTAAGTAACTTTGAAAATGAGTGGAGTTTGTAAGACTGAGCAGAAGTGGGTGACTGCTTGTAAGAAATAAATGGATTTCTCCCACTTTATTTCTTCCTTTGACTGATGTTGGTTTCAAAGGTATTTTGCCTCGGAATTTCCCTCTCCCCCACTCCCACCCCGTGGAGTTACAATGATTAAGTATAGTAATTCATTCTTGTTATGATCATAATGGAGCAACTTAAATCAAGAGTGATATAGTCTATTTATCTTGAGTACCATTATAATATTTTGTGAACCTAGAGCAGCTACTACATACATAAATGTATTCACTTACCAATAATGAAGATTTCATATATAAAAATGAGCTGATTCTAACAATTTGAAATTTTTTAATAATCACAAGTTATCATTGATAAAATTCCATGAAATTTATAGAAGATTCTACATTCTGAAGAAACATTCCATGTTTGTCTTCAGAAAGAATAATTCCTTCTTTTAAGGTGCTGCATACACTTCTTTTCATAAAGTTCTTTTATAGACCTCTGCACAATTAAGACATCACTGTATCAGGATTTATAGGCCTGAAGTATAGTTTATCTTTACATATTCTCCTTAAACCCTGCATTTTTGGAGACATTGTTTAATGTTATGAACAGGAAATACCTTGATTATGGATTTTCTTTGCTAAAAGCAACCTGTCAATGAACAGCTGTGCCTACTCACATTTCTCTTGTTCAGCTTCCACTCCTTCACTTTCTGTGTCACTTGGCAAGATCCAGGGCTGATGAACTACCTGTAATTGCTTTAAAGATTCATCCTGCCAAAGAAAAGAAAAAAAATCATTTTGGATTAAGCTCTGGATTAATAGCAGGAATACCAATACTGTGAGCACTTTAGTCTCCATGAATTACAAGTCCAAAGAAAGACAGTAAGAATTTCCTTACAACACAGAGAAGTTATAAATTTAGATTCATTTTCATGTCATAGACACACCACAGACTCTAAACTCATTTTTTACATTCTCCTTTTACTAAAATTTAATGTCTTAATAAGAAGAACTATCTAGACTATGTTCCTTACTGAATTAATATTTTTATGGAAGTCCTGACACTTATTTCTGGAAATACAGTAATGAAATATTCAATATAAAATGGCACAAGATGTGCCTCTTTGCCGTCAAGGTTTCAAATTTCATATAATGAGAATAAAGATTAATAGGATTTCAAGAACATTCTCAATTTTACCATTCAGTACTACTTCACTGTCTCTTTCATCTTCTTACTTATTTTATTTCTCATGCCTTCTTTGGTGTTCTCTGCCTTCTGTCACTGACCTAAAGCAGACTTCATCATCTCCCATTCTGACTTTGTAGTAGTAGCCATCTATGAAGTTGTCTCATATCAAGTTTACACCCTCATTAATTCTGCCCACCAGGTCCTTGCCAGAGTGTGCTTTTTAAGATGCCATATGACATATTAATTACATTGCTCAGAATTCTTCAGTGGCATCTTAATTCACAGGATAAAATCTAAAGTCAAAGTCCTTCATAATCCATGCTTGTCAGCCTGAACTACCACTGTTTTTATCTCCTTCCTGCCTCGACTGACACTTCCACAGCAGCTTCTGTTAGCTCCTCAATTTTGTCATTCTGTCTGATCTGCCAAGACATTTTCATTTGTTATACTTCCTGACTAAAGTACACTACATTTATTTGTATCATATATTAACTTCCTCCCAAGGCTCAGATATTATTCCTACTGGAAGCCTTCCCTGATCCTCCAAGACAGAATTAATCTTCTATTCCTTTATGTGCCTATTGAACCAGTATAACAATTACTGTTTAGTGACAATTACTGTATAGTAATTGTCATATCATACCTTCCTGACTGAAAAGTAATGAATAGAAAGCCCTTGAGGACATGGATAACTTTTTTTCACCTTTAAATTTCAAATTTATTGAGCCATGATTCAAGAAAACTTTTTCAAATATATTTTGAAAATTAAAAACAAATCAGTATGACACACTAGTTTACTTTTTGACCTATAAGATTAATTCATCATCTTCCCCCTCTTTTAATCATCTTTTCCTCTAACTTGAGATATTTTACTTTGTTCAGACAAATACTAACAAGATAAAAATAAAGATCTGCAATCTCTGATCTCTAAGTTATATGACATCACTAAATATTAAATGTCCACTTTGTTTAAAGCAATTCCTGTACTAGAAAAACATTCTACTTGCCATCACTTGATTGTAACTGTTATCACTGGAGATGTTTGCTCCCATACTAGAATTTAAAAAGGCACATTTTTCCAAGAGTTTGGATGGGGATTAAAGGGTGAATAGGTGAAGCACAGGGATATTTGATACTATTTTGTGTGGTTTTATAGTGGGAAATACAAGACAGCAGCATTTGTCAAAACCCATAGAACTTTGCCCCGCAGAATAAACCTTAAAATATGCAAATAAAAGTATCAATTAGGAGGTTGAGGAAATCCCAGGATGGAAGACAAATACTTAAAAAGAATCTAAGTACATTACAGATGGACGAAACATCCTCACTGAAGGAGTTGAGGGAATAATGTGATAAGCTAAGTAACTTTGAAAATGAGTGGAGTTTGTAAGACCAAAAGCACAAGGAACTGTACATAAATACTGTACACCAGTTGATACAGTTGTTTCTCATGGACATACAGGTGAACAACTCAGAAAGCACTATACATATAGTTTAGAATTGAACAATGAAATAAATGGATGGCAGATGGTGGGAGTCAAGTTTCTCACTATAAAGTGGGAGTTTACAGATAAGCAAGGATAGAATGATCCTTGTGTAATGTATTGGAGTTGGAGATATCAGTATGAACTCATGTTTAGCTTATTATATATACAGATAGCTTTATGTAGAAATATTTATAGATATTCATTCATCCTTGAGTTACCATATACATATACATGTCCCAGCTCTGGCAGCTGAGAGGATTTAGAATCAATGACATCCCAGTAGTAGTGAACACAACTACCAGCCTGATCTTGGTTTCTACTACAATTCTCCAGTGAAAACACCAAGACTCATGGAGAAATTACTTATTATAGGACTGACACGGAAATATATCAGACGAGCCTGGTGCATCTTGTAGTGACAAAAAGCAAGAAAGTGCTACGTCTCCCCCACACATTATGATGGGGATACATACACTAAAGGGATAAAGAAACCAACCAAAATATCTCTCAGTGGAAAAAGCTAGAACAATTTAAGCAACAAAATAAATAAGGTAACATTGGGTTATCGGGCAATATAAAATAAATAACTACAATTCCATTCTGATAAAAATACATTATTGAGTAAACAAACAAATGGATAAAAAGAGACAGACACATCATGCAGAAGGATTTCAAATAATTTATGTAGATATTCCACCCTTAAGGAGGTTGAGAATAACTTCCCACTCTTTAAGTGTGCGCTGTGTAGTGACTTTTAGCAAAGACTGCAGTATGGAAAGGGAGAGCAGAAAGTCTCACTTTACAGTGAGAAAGCTGACAAACACTACTGAAAGCTAGATGATCAAGGTCAACAACAACATCAACAATCCATATTGACAGGATGAACCCATGACAGGAAATGGAATTTTACTTTTATGGTTTTCTCTGAAAAACACGTTATCCCAGTCTAATCAGGAGAAAAATATCACATGAATCTCAGTTGAGGGACATACTGCAACTGAGTGAATATACAACCAATACTTTTCAAAACTGCTATAGCCATTAAACACAAAGAGAGTCTAAGACATGGTCACAACCAAAAGGAGCCTAACGAGATATAACTGCTCAATGTAATGTGATATCCTGGATGGGATCTTGGGACACGAAAAGGACATTAGCAAAAAACTGAGAACATTTGAATAAAGTATGGATTTAGTTATAAATAATGTACCAATATTAGTTCATTGTGACAAGTGTATCATATTAATATAAGGTATTAATGATAATTGAAACTGGGTGAGAGGAATATAATCTCTGTATTAATTAACAATAGTTCTGTAAATCTAGAACTATTTAAAATAAAAAGTTTTCTTAAAAAATTCAAATAAGCAAAGTTTTTTATTTTCAATTTTATATTTAAAATTATCTTTTTTTAGCACTGACTCTTCAAAATAATCTGTGAATTGGATTAAAACTTAAAGTCCAGTGAGTAGATCCTGAGGTATCATCACAAGATTTTTTTTTCTTTGCATTGTACCTATCCAAGATGATAAATGCTAACTACAACTACAGTGATAATCATTTCACAATATATGTAAATCAAACCATCATGCTGTACACCTTAAACTTAAACAATGATGTATGTCAGTTATTTCTCAATAAAACTACAAAACAAAAAGCAAGAATTTGAATTCCTATCATATGAGAGGTGGGCTTCACAGTAAACAGTCTTTACCCCAAGGGTCAAGGGTCACAGCTTTTTATCCTGGTCAATCTAAGGCATGTCACTTCCTCTCAGAACATGCAATGAAGTTGGTGAAAGTACTGATGATCTCTCATATGGCACAGGTGTCAAATTTATAGGTGTACATTACTTTAGGAATGTGAGAGGCACTAAATGGACTATTGCAGAGAAAGTTAACAAAATAATCAAGATAGTCAATCTTGGAATGTATGAGTTAGGTATAAATCAATGTTTATTCTTAGGGTTTAACTTTTTTTTTCAAATGTATCAATTATTGGATTTGGCTTTATAGGGCTATACTAAAGAAGCAGAATAAATGTGAAATATCTTAGATTTAAAATTCCCTGACAGCATAGAGGACAGCAGAAGTGAAATTTCAAAAGTGTTCATGTAACAAAAAGGGAAATCATATTCTTGCAGCTTATCAAAAATAAAACACAGGTCTCTGATTATTTAAAGAAGAAATACTACATGGTCTTTTTGGTTTCATAAGGTAAAGTCAAATAGCTAAAGCTCTTCATTTAAAACAGAATAATTTAAAGTATATATGAAAAAAAGTTTAATTAAGTAAGTATTTTGGTTATTTAGCTTTTTGGTCCAGATACTAAAATCTGTTCTCATAAGAAAAGATATGAGTAATAAATCAGTTGTGTTATTTTTTACCACAATAGTACAGAATTTTAAGCAATCATACTGATTGATTTCATGTTTTGATGGCTTTATTCTTGAACAGATAAGTAGCATTCAACTAATTGCAAATTATATAAAGTATGAATAGAACATTAGCTCTGTAAAATATGTAGTTTGGGAATAACAAAATGTTGAGACAATACAGAAATGACTATTAATAGATCGCTTAAATATTTTACTTTGATTTTTCCTTGAACACAGCTAGTAATAACTTAATGCACCTGTTTTGCTTTATCAATGCCAACAGTCAGTACTATGTATGTTCAAACCTCAGCCCATCAGAACACTTATAATTCTTTTTTGATAGGGTCAAGGAGGTAAAATCTTGAACATTTTTAAAAAGCAAGAACAAACATATTCCTCTTTGCCAACTTATTCAAAAAATTTTCTATAGGAATATTAAGCTGTGTCTGAGCATAGTACAAACTCGTTCATATTCCCAAGAGAAAGTTCTTAAAGTTGCTTTTAGAAGAAATGTCATTCATTCTTTTTCCAAAACACTTTCACCATAAGTATTTAAATATCCAGGGACTAGGAGTGGTGAGAAATAGTGACATGTATCATAAGGAAAACAGTTGCTAGGTCTGTATCAACATATCATTTCATCTGCTAACAGAGTAAGTGCTTTATAAACTTCAGCAGTATTGTTATTCCACATGGATAGCTTATTTTTGGATTCTCTAAATGTAATCAATCAGTGATTTATGTCATGTGTGGCCATGGAAGTTCAGTGCACTTAGAGAAAAAAAAACATCCTCCTTTGCTCAAACTTTCACCATTGGATACTTTAATTCTAAGACAATTAAATATGTCTCTCCTTTTGGTAAAGTATGAAAATAACACACAAAATATCAACTTCCATCTTTCAAAAAGGATTAATTACTTTCACTTTACTTCTATACCATAGGATCCCTATAAAATAAAGATCCCTGAGGCATTTTGCTCATAAAGAGGAACCCAATTACATTCCACAACAGCTACAATTATTAGAGTGCTTCTGCTGACAAAGAATTAACCCTATATTTCCATTAAAATGAATTTCTCTATATATAATTTACATACTCAAATTAGTGAACTTTGGAAATACCTTTTTTTTTTTTGCTTGTATTTGTTAATGCAATGCTTGTATTATTAGGCTGAAATCCGTAATTAGCTATATGGTAACAGAAGTTAGTATACTTCAATGTACTTCAATATACTTCTTTTAGTATACTGTATTTCCGTAGACAGTTCTTTTGGGACTTGTTAAAGCATAGTTAAAACATAGAGGAGGGAATAAGCAATAAGTTTGGGAAGGTACAGTTTGAACTAATAGGATTTTGGAAAAGAAGAGGGAGCAATAATGAAGTTAGAAAAATATAGTAGATTGTGAAAAAACATTACAAAATAAATGCAAGTTGCTACGTAAATTTATATGACAAATTTGTTACACTGCACTATGCATTGAGACTGCATTCTATTTTATCTCCTAATTCATTCCTTTTGGTGGCTAAACTCCAATGATATTTTAGGATAAAATTATAAAAGACTGAAATGGATGAAATATTGGATACAGTCAATGAAAAACAAGTCATTTCACTAGCATGCCCTCTCGCTGTCTGATTCTGTGGAGGCTCTGGGTCTTCCATTGACTTTGAGCTTTTAACAACTGTGTAATTTATAGAAACTGATAGTCGTACAAATGATTCTTGCCCATAAATTTAAATCCACCTGAATGCAATTGATTATTATCATATGGCATTGATCGGTTCTGCCAATTTTTGCATCTACTTATAAGCTCATTTCTGCATTCTTTATGTGACTATATATGTGAGGGTCTGAATTCTCCTTTGAATTGTCTGTAATATCTTACTGAGTTCCCTGTTAATGAATGAATTAAATAAATCTTTGATGTGTTCATTTTATATCTGTACAGGAGCCACAATTATAACTTTTTAAAAAATTGTTATCTGTTAACAACATTTATCAATTCCTAATGAATCAGTCAAAATGGGGTTTTCTTGAAAAAAATCCCTAATTCCTAGTTTCTTAAGTAGAATAAGACTGTAAGACTATATAATATTTACCTCAATTTTTAAAAAGTATATCCTGGTGCATGATAAAAAGTAAATTATATCTTATTTGTTATTTGGAAATACTGTCAGGCACTTTCCACCAGGGGTATAGGTGAAACTTCATTATACCAGCGATCACAGAATACAACACAGGAGAAACAAGATAGGTCAAAATTGCTATGAGAAGTGAGTCAGGTATTTTGGTGCATAAAACTGATCCCGTCTCTAGTTCAGATGGTAGAGTTGGCAAAACCAACCTCAACAGATTTGAAAAAGGCCTGCCTGCTAACATGCTTCTTTTCTTGTCTGACACTCTTAGAGATTGTGAAGCCTCAACTTGACACCCTGAGTTAGTTCACACTCCTATGAATTGTTGCCTCCAGCCTTCAACAACCAATTTCCTGGAGTTGTGAGGAACTGCTCTAAACTGCTCTTTAAAAAGTTTTAAAAATAGTTAACTTCAGTGTTTAGTTCTTTATAGTTTTTCAGCCATTTAAGCTGAGAATACTTATCTGATGAATGTACATTTAAATTAATTAATACATTTCTCTAATGATTCAGGAATTTTTAACCAGCACAGTATACTGCTTCCCAATTATTCACCTTTGAAACATGATATTTTAAATGGATTGACATCTCTATAAAAGATGTAAAAATCAAGCTTTGGAAGTACTTGATTTTCATAAGTTGTTTTAAATTACATATACATTTTGAATGAATGTTAATAGTGTGATCCTAAAAGCTGAAATTGCTGCAATTTGAAATTAATCTTTCTGCCTAAATTATCTAGTGCCTTATATATAAAGAACACATAATTTTTAAAATTTAACTAACAGAGACACTTTGAGGATTAGGAAACATAGACATAAAATTTCTCATTTTTTTATTTGATGACAAATACAAATCCTATTCTGGAAAAATAATAGATTAAAAAATAGAAAATGTGGAATAGAAGTTCCATTTTAGCTTTACTTTTAGAGGTGACTGTATTATTTCTTTAGTTGGTACAGTTCTAAACAGAATTGTCTAATGTCATGTGGTTATGATTCCATCTAATTAAAAGTCTAAATAAAAAATAAAACCAGAGACTTTGATCTGCAGAGTTATTCAAACTTTAGCAAGAAATGTTAAATATATTAAAAATGTGAACACTATGGTTTATTTGAATTTTAGTGTATACTAAATAGAAGCAAATGTTTGTGAGCTCAGTTTTAACTTCAGTGCTTCTCCATTTATAAATACTGTTTCTTATTGTTTGCTGATTCTACTAACATGAAGAAAGAGGGCAAAAGTGAAATAAGAGCAGTGAAAAAAAAAACAATCATTTTATAGTTTACATTCTTGATATGCTCTCAATGGAGAGAAGTTTGAATATATATATATTTCCTAAAGACCAAATGAATTAATGTCTGCAAACAAACTATTAATAAGTTAATAATTTACTCATTAAGATTATACTTACAGTTTTACTGTGAAGGATGATCACGTGTTGATTTAAAAGAGAGCTAAAATCTAAATATCAACCAGCATTAGATAGAAACACTATGTGATACCAAACTCCTAGAAAAGGCAAGGCTTTTGGGCAGTTCGCACATACTTGAAAATTCAGACTGAAAGTCAGTTAATGAATCTCATAAGCTAGAGAGATTTTGCATCCTCAATCGATGAAAACTATTATCCTTGTAAGTAAATGAATAAACAAAACTCATAAATGTATTAGTAAAGGTTTCCTCTTCTATTATACAAAACTGGGAATTTTTCCATGATGTATGCGGTTTCTAGATATAACACTGGGCAGTGCTTTGCAAATGTTAGGTGTTTATGAACCATAGGGGAACCTGTTAGAATGAAGATTTGACTCTTTACATCTGGTGCAATTTTGTATTCTCAGAAACCCCCCATGATGCCAATGTTACTAGTCAGAGGACTACACTGAGAAGCAAAGCCCTGCCAGCACCTTTAGAGAAAAGGTACAAATTCTCAACCTTCATACTACATTAGGCATTTACAATTGTGTAAAATACGTACATTTAGACTACACATTTGTAATGATGGAGAAAATAAGGATCTTTTACTTGGATAAGAACCACAAAATTAGAATAAAACTTATCTTAAAAGTTCTTTCATCTATGTGCAGCCCGTATCCTATACCAGCATCTCATTGCTCTCATTCCTCCACAATGCTAGACCTCCACAGGACACCTTACAAGCAGCATCAGGTACCCTTCTTGTGGAGGTGGCCCATTACCCACATTCTCACCATCAAGTAGGGAACGCTGAGCCAAGACTTGAGCAACCACAGAATCCCAAAGGGAACTTCTATTGGTGTACATGTTGAAAACAGTGTCTGTCTCTCCTTGGCAACATTGGTTGCTTTAATGTATTCTACTCAATTTCTGCATCAAATTCATTAAATTGAAATTTAAAGTTGGTACTTTAACTCTCCAATTTTTTGTCCCATGTGTTTTGATTTTTCTAACCTGAGCTCAGAAAATCTACCTGGTTATTTCTTTTCTTTTGTTTCCTCTTCTCCACATGCCTTTGGCAAAATTTCAACCAAGCCCAAACAAGTGTGCAAGCCAGAAATGTTAGAAACTTAAAGGGCACTATGCACTCTGATTTTCCTCTTCAAATAATATTTGGAAGCAAGTGTAAGTGTGCATAATAAATAAATGTATGGACCCATAGCACATTCAGTAGACCACTTAAAATGGTTTTTGAATGAATTCATGCATGCAAGAATAAAATATTTACAGAAACAGATTCTGTCTTGATAAGAAGCAACATTCAAACCAAATATTTGGTACTTTGTGACATCACTTTGAAGAAAACTGTTTCCCTGTTTTCTTCACCTTCAGCGGAGTCACATGGCTAATTTAGTGACAACTGTGGTTTTGCTTCAGATCAGGTTTTATGGATTCTATCCACTGGTTTATTGGAAGTCCCCACATATCATTTGCACACAGCCTAAAGGCACATCCTGTGACACAGAGCACCCTTGGATACCTCCAGAATAAATCCAGAAGTCCAAAGGGATTTTCAACAAAGATCTAATGTACATTCTAATTGCGAAGACACCACTTTGCTTAACAGCTTGCAGCACTGACAGCCTTGATGAACATTTGTCTCATGAATGAACGCCCATTTGGTTTTGATTGTCCTTTGCATAAGAGCAACGATCATGTCTTATTATTTTGTTCAATGGCCCATACAAAACATGCACTTCTCATTTATTAGGATATCAACAAATTATGTGAGTGAAAATATAAGATAGCACTAGGCTTATGCAGTTTGATCTCCATTCTCAGGATAACTGAATTGGTACAGAGTATTTATCTATGAGGAACAAAAACAATTTTGATAACATATCATTTATTATCTTGCTTTGGTGGGCATGACTAGTGAACAGGTACAGCCTGAAAACCCTCTGGGAAGACAGATGGAAGAAGCCCAAGTGTTTCAACCTGTATGACAGACTGATTTCAGACTGTGTTATGAGGCTACCTTAAAACTCACTTCTTCTATGTAGTTTTTCAATGACTGTCCTCCACTGGAGGCTTCTCCCTGGAGGTAAAGAGGAAGAGAGGTTGAAAAAGTCAGGAGAAAGGGAGAGAAAGAATTATAGAAGCGGGAGCAACACCAGTCTTCACTATCCCTTCCCCACCATCTCAGTTAACCCTTGTGAGGTTATCAGTTTGTCAGCTTCTTACTCTGAAGAGGATAATCATTATTCAAGGCAACTATATACCTTTTAAATGGATTTTTTTGATATGCCTTTTAAGTAGATTTTAGGTCACATAAATGATAACCACCTAGACTAGCTAACTAAATCTTAGGATGGAATGCTAAATGAATATTATAAAATTTTGTTACTAATTTCACAAATGTGTTCTTAAAATTAGATTCAGAAAAAAGGTACTAAGTCTATATTCTATAAGTGTATGTGCAGATTTAAAATATTTAATGGAAAGAGTTGAGATCATTAACTTGTCCTTTTCCAAATGTTGCTATCCAGTCTTTCTTACCTCATATGTTATTAGTAAACTCCCATTATTTGTGCCTTTTAGTACTAGCACTTCATTGGGCACTAGTAATCCCTGAGATTGAAGTTACTGGAATTTAAAACATTAAATGAAACATATATCCCAAACCCGCCTAAACATTGGAGGTTGAAATTGTCAAACAGCTTGTTAGTTTGGATAAGCTGTATTTTTATATTCCATGGCCAGAGACATTTGGAAATAAATTGTGAGATACCATGAAATGATAAATCCTAGGAGAACATATGTGTTTAAAAGATAACCAAATAAGTATGAATAAAGCTTACATTTGTTTTTAACTTTTCAAGGACCCTCTTTTTTAACTTTTCAAAGACCCTCACATATATTACCTCATTTGATTGGTTTTTCACTACAGTTTGAGGCCAATCTGACACATAAAGAAACTGGAGCCAGGAGGGGCTCAGTGAAATGGTCAAGGTCAAGGAGCTAGGCAAAGTATTGCTGGGACTGGATTCAACTCTGACACTCTTCTACCTTGCTGAAATAAACATTTTAAAACATAATAATTTTTACTTTACTTTTTAAAAATGCTTATTTCAAAGCAAACATTAAGCTAGGAATTAAGTGCTGGTATTCCCAAAACTTAGAAATCACAGATGTGGTAATATTTTTTTACCAAATGATTTCCACTAGCAAAAAATTAATGTGCTATATTTTAAATGTGTCCAAATGCTTCCAAGTTTTCAATGGATAAGATAGTGAAAGAGATAGGGTAGTTACATTTACTTAAGCTAAAACATTAACTATTAGGAAAACGTGACTTCACATAAAATCCTCGAAACTGTGAGGGATTTAACTCAGAGCATACAGAGAAGGCTGGAAATGTTCTTTAGATAAACTCCTTTTTAATAGTTGAACTTGATATACTATCTCCCCTCATTTGGACAAGTCTAGAAGAAATGCTGAGGACTCTTTAAATGTGGTTCTTCGGAGGGACAGAGCTAGTCCTTATGTGCTAATAATCCCTTCCCCTTTGCCTGGGTTGCTAAGGGTAAGAGGATAAGGTGGCAAACTGATTGTTGTTACAGATCTGCTTTCAAGAGAGGCCAACATATGCAGTTTACCTGACTGGCCTCTGGACCTCTGAGGATAGCCCTGAGACACTGTGGAGCAGTCCCTGGGTGTTCACTGGAGGGTTTTCTGTTTCCTTGGTGCTAGAGTACGGTAGTTTGCCTAGTCCGTCTGGACACTTGCAGCTTATGCTAAGATCTGATGATGACTGAAGGTTTTCTGGATGCTCAGATATAACTGAAGCATTGTGTGCACTAGAGGGCTTCCTGACAGTCCTGCTTCTTCCCACAAAGCTAAGTCATTTTCAGTATCTACACCACAGAAAAAGGAGAAACCCACACACCACCATGTATTTCAAAGGCCACACAGACTGGAGTTTGGCTGTAACTGCCATTCATAAATCACTTAAGTGGTTGTCACTAACGAATGAGGAGCATGAAGTAAAAGACTCTAGGAGGAACATACAGAGGAAACACTTTGCAGAGAGGATTACAAAGGTGACACAAGGCCAGGTGGTCAAGGCAAAGCATAACACTTGAGGACCTCTGCTTCTTAGAGTCAGCAGAAATGGCCCCAGTAAAGAGGTTTGATTCAATATGGCTGTCTCAGGTTCCCCATTTCCAACCTGGGACTGCTGCAATGATGGCCTTCCCTCCTTCCCTCGCTGAGGGCACCAATGAAATAAAATCCCTTGCAAAGCACAAAGCTTAGTCATCTTTCTCTGAGTTTTAAAGAATTGGTATTTTAAATAAAAAGTCATTCTAACAACATAATATTTTGGTAATCACATGGAAATGAATCAAGAATACCCATATGCAATTTCCCTTGAAAAATAAAAAAAGAAAGATTATTCAAGGGACACAGAGAGGAGCATGTGAAGGAGGGAAAGGGCAGAAAGTTTAGAAACTGTGCCTTAAAAGAAAAGGAAGACAAGGTATTTCCTGAAATGTGGTTTCACTTATGAATCTTAGTATAACTACACTTGAGATAAAACTGTTTTAAATGTGAATTGGCAAATATAAACTCAGAGAGAGAAAAAAAGGAGCTGATATGATTACTGCTTAACATATAACATGGGATCATGGCTGTTTAGAGATGAAGGCTCTTGTCACTACCCTAGTTATTTTCCAGTTAAGAAAACAGTCTCAGTGAGATGGAACAGTCTGTAAACTAGACGCACACTCTCCTGAATCTATCGCCATTTCTCACTATACTGCCCTCATGTTTCAATCAGCAAGTATTTTCTGTTCATCTCTTACTAATCCTTAGACAAACTGCATACAAACTTGCACTTGTATGCCCATTTATGCACAAATATTTTATGTCTAAGATCTCTGGTGTTAATTTCCTCCAAAGAAAGTTCCATGAAAACCCTACTTCTACCAGAATGCTCATTCTTCCTGTCTTTCTTCAAATGGGAACTTAATCTGAAGCCAAGGGACCCATAAAACATCATCCATTATTTATTACACAAGAATTTATTAAGTACCTATTTGTCCCACATACTGAGCTAGGTGTAGGAACAAAGAGCTGAACAAGAACTAATCCCTACCATAAAAAGTTCATCTTGAGAAAACAGACATACAAGTGAATAGAATTTAGAGCATGATTGACATAGGTAAGGCCAAGGTGCTATGGGAAAAAAACAGGAGGAAAAGGCATCTAGCCTTTCATTTAATTAACAAGCTTGTGTTGAGAGAACTCCCATGGGCCAGAAACTGTTGTAGTCACAGCATATATGTGGTAAATAAGACAAAAGGGGAGTATCAAAACTTGAGGAAACTATTTTTAGGCTTAATCCTAAAGACTTAGTCAATTAGCCAGAAGAAGGAACTGAATTAGGAGGATTCATATCAGGCAGAAGGAAAATTCTGTACAAGGGTCCAGACACAATAGAGCAAATATATGAAACCACAAGCATCAATGAAGAGTCCTGAAATGTGCATATTTTTAGATATAGAAATACTAAAATTCTGTTATTTCCGAAGTTTACACTATAATTTCCTATAATATGGCTGCTGATATCATGGTTATATGTTGTGTTTTCTAACTGCATTATTACACAGGATTACTGAATTTGTGTCAGATGATACAGAGACTAAAGTTCAGCTTTCCAAACTCTAGCAAACTCTATATGCAGCAACTATTACTGATGTCTGAGAGAATAGGCAGCAGTCTACTTCCATTTAGCAAAAAACTGGGTGCAATAGTTTAGAAACTCAGAAAATTTTGGAAAGCCCAAAAGTGTTTCAAATCCTTTATTGATGTACTCAATAAATTAATAGTCATGCTTGTTTGGGGACTTATATACATAAACAGATGCTGTTTCTAATTGGCCCCAATGTCTATACAAACTAAGTTAAATACTTTTTCTGAAAACTTTGCCCACGATCTTATGAACAAACATAGCACCACTACAGACCAGCTTTCTCTGAAAATGACACCTTTATATCCAGTAGAGAAGACACTTGATTGCTTTAGTATTGTTAAGGGCTAAAAACAGTGGCATCTGAAGATAAGATGTTATGATTCATTCTGCCTTTAAGTTCAGCTGATGCTGCAGGTTACGTCTATACCAGGAATAAGCAACCTGAGGCATGGTCAGAAGCCAAATTTGTCCCCTCAGAGAGACAAACAATACTCAATCCTTGAGCACATAACCAACTTTTATATTAAAATGGAAACAATTTACATTTTTCTTCTTCTAATTTTTTATGTTAAACTAAATAGTTCCTGGAGTGGAATGCCCTTGCCTTAGAGACTTACTTTAAAAAAATGGAAAAAGGCAGGAGCAGTTACAGAATTAATGATTATTACCAATAATGTTAAATTTAAATCATTTAAGGCATTTAATGTTCTTTGTTAACTTCTGAAAAGTGACTCTTCAGAAAAAAAAAAATTATTCTTTCCTTTCCTTCAATCCAATGTAAAAAAAAGAAAATCAGAGTACACAGCCAGTAATGAGAAGCTCAGTTTTGTCCGCAAAGTTCTGTTTCTTGACCCAGGTAATGTACTCATTATAATACAGTTAGACCATATGTTTGATTTGGGTGATTTTCTACAGTTGTGTTTTATTTTGTAATAAAACATATTTAAAGATAAATAGCCATTTCTAATATTAAACTATATTGTTACAGACATAATTGTAAGGTCCAAATGAAACTTTTAAAAAATAAGACTGAAATGTAATTATGCTCTATTTATTGTTGGCTACACCCCCATGGTCACATATCTACTCCCTCATTGATTCAAGTCTGGTTTACGTAAAGAGGTAATTATTGGTTATATATCTTGAAAAGTAGTTAAAGGACGCTCATACCGTTCTGATTTAATCTTAAGCTAATCTAATTATAACACTGACCTCATAAAAATCAGCCGGCAATTTTGAATTTTACCATTTGAAATAATTAAGCCTTTAAACTCTCTTCCATTAGGCTCTTAAAAAAATCAATAGATGTCACTTTGGAATCTGTAAAGTACTTGTATAAATTC